CTTACGTAGCGGTAATGAACATTGAAATGGAGTCGGCAACAGCAGACAGCTTACAAACACAGAGGGGACAAAAGCGCCGACATTAACCAATGACGGAGGGAGCGAACCGGTAGCTCCTTATCTAGACACCCAGGAATGCGGCAAACCCCAAGTGTCATACACAAAATACTACGGAAGCTCCGTTTTCGGACAGCCACACCGCCTGACTGAGGAAACTTGAGTCCAAAAATGCGAACTGGAGAGAAGAATTCTGTCCGTGGTACCTACGCGTAGAGGGCATCCAGAGGACACTTCATCGGCTAAGTCGCATTCTGTCTAGTCAGAATGGCTCAGAAGCCTCCTTGTTTGGCATTCCAGCGGCCCGTGACATTTTATTCTACGACTGTCTCTGATAGTGGGTTCGAGAGAGAATCTGAAACGTTGGGCCAGTAAACCTCTCGTTCCAGCCGTCGCATCCTCTTCAGAATTTTGCTCTGAGTCGACGCCAGTATGATCGGCGGCCATGACCTTGACTGGTATTGGGAGAAAAACCTTTGGACTATTTTTTTCGACCGAAATTTTGCAGGGAGGACTGCTATTAAAATCAACCAATTTGTTCCCACATTGTATGCAAATCACGCGATTACTTCGACGACCGATGGACTAGCTAAGGAAGGTTGGTGGAATGGCCACCTAGGTGTCTTGATTTTTTCCCCATCTGGTTCATCCCGTTGGCGTCACCAGAAATACCAAGTTTACGTGGGCAGTTTAGAGACAGGGAAACAGTTTAAACAGGCCATCGTACGACGATAGTCTAGTATTTGCAGAAAGATCGGATTCCCACCTTTAATCCTCTTTAAGTGAGACTTTGCTTTGTAAACAAAACAATGGACATTGTGAGTAATTTCGCGGAAGCAAGCTACCCACTACTTATCACGTTCTACGCTCTTAGTGACGACGTTAGATCGACCGATGGGCGACCCTTTCATTTATTGCCAATTATAAATAAACAGTCAACTTGTCCCTGGTACAGACTATCTTACATTTATCCCCTTCCTATTTTCGCTTGGGCGCCGTATGAATGCCATAGCTACGCAAAGCACGGACAGTTGGCTGGGTGTAGCTGGTTTAGATGGCTAAAGCTGCCTCTTCAGCCATATGACTGCGGTTAACAACACGGCTATTAAAGTCATTTTCCTAGAGGACTTAAGTTCACGAATACCTAGGTGTGCAAGTACGCATAAGACGTTTCGTGCGTGCACTCAACACACCTGTAAAAGAATTGTGATATACGGTAGATGAACAACTTGCCAAATTAAATAATTAGCAGTTTAGACGACCTGAGTGCTGCAAAAGTTGGTTGACCATGACCCATACAAAGGTTGAAGACTAGATACTATAAGTGGCCATTTCGAGCCTCCTAGTTCTAATGATGAAAATTCATCTATTTTACCTACTTAACGGCCGACCTAGGTGAGGTTTAATTCGGAGTATGTGGCAAAAGGGCTTAGTCATACCCTTACCCAAACACGAATCATTATAGTTTAAGAAGATTATCGTCTAACCAGGCTCAAGCTCGTCGTATGCAAATTAATGGGGAGGACTCACCATGATCATGTCTGCCGCTTTCTCGAGAAAAAAGGCATCCTTGCCTCAAATACATTTGGATTTACTGTCTCACAACTCTCCTGGTTTCATCGGAGATCTTGCGTGGAGCCTTTGTAGTGGTGGCAGTCCAGAGGCCGTGCTCATTGATCTAATTTCGACCTCCGACAGGGTTGGTGATTGTTGATATGAAGTTTAGTTTTAACTCCATGTTTGATCTGGAATCTTCATAAAGTGAATTAAGTCTTTCCTAGCTAAGGGTGACTATAAATGCGTGTTGATATGCTACATCTAAGATGCCTATTTATACAGGTGTTTTGCAAGGTTCGGTCCTGGGACCATCCCTGTTTTCTTCTTTAAACTAACAACTAAGTACTGTTAATTAGAAATAATCACCATACTTGGCTAACATTACCACAATCTACGCGCGGACTCTGGTAAGCGGTGCTCGGCAAGCTGCCTATGCTACCGACCTAGAAATAAACACACCTGGCTCCTTCGGAGCAGTGCTTCAGGGCTGCAATAAAAAGCACGCAAAAAGCTCTTTTGCTCACAAAGCCTGCTCCAAACTCTCCTGAAAGAGTATTTTCTCATTTTATTTTTTGACCGTGCTATCTCGAATAATATACGCCAGTTTGACCCCTGTACCTAGTCCACAACTTTGAGGACCTTAAAAAAGGTGTAGATTAAACGACGCGGTTCGTTTACTGCACCATCTGCCAGCTGAATAAAGCCATATGGACGTCTTCCGCGTTGATCTCATCTAACCATGCAGGATGAATCGTAGGGTTTACAATGTTAATCTCGATTTATTTTCCTAGACCAGATACACCTGCAATCTCAGGATTTGCGCTACTACATGTTTAGGCAACGAAGGGAAGAAAGGGTTTAGACAGACCTCTTTCAATCATAATCACCATCCATTGAAATAGGTTATCAGAGCATACGGTTTTAGTTCCCACAAACCTGCTAGTTATAAAGCGACTAGGACTCGCCTGCGAGTCAACCGATCACGCAGAAATGAGAAGCCTCCGCTCATCCGCCGTGACCACATAATTTGCATGCTGTGTGCATATTCTAGGGATCCGGGTTATTTTGAGGTGGGAAACCCGAAATTGTTTCTTATTCCGTTTGTTGTTCCTTGCCATAGCAAATAAAAAAGACCCTAAGACCGTTCGCTAGCGTTAATTATTTTGTGTGCCGTTTGTCAGATCGAGGATTTCGGCTGTTTTTACCCGCCTTTGGCGCATTGTACCCGCTCGGATCCGATTTCCCGTTATAGCTCATTCGCTTTCTTTAGTTTTTTCCCCTTTAAAACTGCCTAGTGGTCAGGGTGTCGTCATAGACTTGTCACTATCCAAACCAGAAGTTTCAGCAGTAGTATGACCTACGATAACCTGGCTGCACCCCGATTAATATTTCCAGCTGAACCGTCCACGCAATGATAGCGGAGACCGAAAATGAACTTTGTCCAATGTTGCGAAAAGCTACATGTTTGAGAGACGTCCAGATGATTTTACTACTAATTTAAATACTTTCCGAAATTCTAAAGAAAATACAACCTAATAAAAGGAACACGTGAACTTCCCCTTTTCACGCATTGAAGTTCCGTGCATTCGCCAAACAACTTCCCTATGGGGTTACCGCTCTCAGTCAAAGCGAAAAGGCGAGCTCGAGGAAGTAGTTGAGATGCGATCGCCTAACTTTTCGGACTCCCACCAGGGTTATTGTCAGAGACAGTTACAGACACAGGATAGCTTTTGTACAGGTGCTAACAGGAATTCCGAACAGCAAGGCGCACATGTTGAAATCACCCAATTCGGTGCTAGAAACAAGTCCGCCTTCTACCGTCTTTCCTACTCCAGCTGACATTTGGACACATCAAAATTTCCCTCCAACCTGAGTAAGCACAAGAGCGAAGCTGGGTTACACCGACTGTTGCCAGCGTCCGCCGAGCAGTACAGATGATGACGGTGCTAGGGGGTTTGCGTATGCCAGGTCTCATGACGAGCACACAATGATTTCCACAGCCACAACATAAACCTCACCGCCAAGCATGTCAAGAGGTAAGGTTTAGGGCCAGCTTTGACGCGAGAGTCTCCCATGACATACGATGAAGAGGATAAAGTATGGTCAACATTCCATAGTCCAGTTACATCATCATAGCTTACCGCGAATCTGCATTTGGGAACTTGCTGCTCAAACAACCGCCTCATCAATTCCAAAAGGACAGTAGCGAATAGAACTTGGAGGGAGGGTTGAATAGTTGAGAGGTCTATTGAGGATCAAGGCAGGCATTTTAGGAGAGCAACCACGATTGCGCACCATGTCGTATGTGGGAGTGCTCTTTCCTCCATATCCGACTGGAATAAACACTTGTGCTTCGCTCTCCGCCAAGCCAGAGCTAGATAACAAAAGGCGACCCAACTGCTCCAACTAGGTAAAAAGGTTCCAAGCCAACATGAAATTGCCGAAGGAACAACCTATTCTGCCGACTGCACAAAACATTTTCGCAAGAGACGTATCGACAGCCTCGGCACTGCGGACGCGGACAAGCTAGTTTATTCGTGTAATGTCCTAAGCTCAACTGCCAACAAACACAAAGTCAGCATGCTGATCGAGTACTCTGGTGCCCGTTCGGCCAGTCTCTCGGGACTGTGCGGCAGCGGACTGCTGGGTCTCGGACGCCTTCTACATAGTGCCACTCACTTTTTATGGAAATTTTCGAAATTCCTCCAAGTGCTGAACAAGATCGAAGAAATGCGTGCCTAGCGCTTTGGCCGTTAGCACACGCAAAAAATCCTACACGACCGGCGCATTTCGCCCCTGACAGCTGTTTGATTAACTGATTACTAGCGTGACCCTTCGTGGTTCTATCGTTAAAAGAGTTAGATAGACACAGATAAATAATGTGATAGAGAGGACCGGAGACGGCTAGCCAGAAACCATAACTGTAGTCCCTCTGAATAGGGGATTACTTTCGAGGCAACCTCTACTGGTGGGGGATTTTTCGCGAGGTCTCTCTGAGGGCGAAATTTAAGGCGGGCCCTAAGGCAAACATTACTACACTTTTCTTCTGTCTGCATGAAGTGACTCGCAGAGCGCAGAAACACCTGTGACCCAATGAGAGGAGGCGGTTGCCTCTGCCGGTTCGAGAACTGGTGCAGATTGCTTAAGTACCAAAGAACGCTTACGTTTATTACGGTGACCCTTTTTAAAGTGGTAAAGTAACAAGCCGCAAACTGCGGCAGAGGATTGAACAGGCCAATGGAAGTCCGCCCACAACGTACACGCATCGAATAGAAGGAGGCGGGAGAGGTGCTTAACCCTCATAACAGTCTATTTAATAAAAGTAGAAATACAGAGCCCCCAGCACAGAGAAGCGTAAAGTAAAGATGACATTCCGGGAATGGGTTCTAGGCTGTTTTGTCAGAGCGAGTAGGCAGCAAGCGCTTGCAGACGGGCAAGACGATCCTTCGCCACTGGGTGTGCCAGTCCTGCAGACCAGACTGTCTGCGCCGATGAAGATTGTCTCGGTAACGGGCGAGTTCCTGGGACTCCGCGGGACCCTCAAAGTCCTCCTTGGGCATCAACAGGGAGGTGAGCTGGGACGCCAACTCATCCACAGTGGAGAAATGGCGGCCCACCACCTTGTCAGACAGGAGTTCAGGCAGGGTGGGGTAGGCGAGGGCCAATGTTGGAACTTCGGCGCCGAAAAAGTCGACAACCTGGTTGCAGAGGGCGGATACAAACATAGCTCTGGGAACTCGATAGAGTGCTATAGTGGTAGCAGGCGTTGCGGCGGACAACTAAATAAAGTCAACTTCGGCAGACTAAACGGCAGGGCTCACCATTAAACAAACGTAGAAAATGGGCGTAGATGAGAGAGTTAGGACGACGAACTCAAAAAATTACGAAATGAGTCTTGATGCTTGGGCTGACAAAACAAACAACGCCTCTGGGTCTTGTTCTACTTCTAACATGAAATTAATTTTGACGAACACTGACTTTATAATAATCCGAAGTGTGCATACTGTTTTGAGACGTCTGAATTGAGTTTTCCCAGGAGAAAGCACACAGCATGCAGCATGGCGGAGGTTTTACACAAAAATATACAGAGGTTAATAAACGTCTTATGACCAAATTATATGAAGGCGAAATTTCGAGTTCCAGGTGTATGCATAAGTGATGAAGAAGAGTCGAGCACCGGAACACTTTGTTTATTGTCCTGAGCTTTCAGACTCGTGCAGGAGTCCATCGTCGGAGGTAGTAGCAGCAGCAGCAGCAGCAGCAGCAGCAGCAGCAGCAGCAGCAGCAGCAGCAGCAGCAGCAGCAGCAGCAGCAGCAGCAGCAGCAGCAGCATCAGAACAAGCGACAGTTATAAGGCATGTAGGCAAATCACCGACCGACGGCGCAAGACTGTTCTGTTCTGTTGCTGCTACTACCTCTGACGATGGACTCCTGCACGAGTCTGAAAGCTCAGGACAATAAACAAAGCATGAAGTAGCTTAAGATTTGGCCCCATGTCGGTTATCATTGCACCTCGTCAGTATTTTCTTTAGTGAAAACACATTTAAAAAGTTAAGTCAATGTTCCTGAGCCTCAACACAAGGTGAAGACAGGGCTGTCCTTCGAGGTAACAGTGAGGGAAACGACGGCTGCCAATGACCATCGGGAGTAAACGAGGTCCTCCGGCAGTCTTCTTCTCAGGACTGAGAAATGTTAGGCATGACCTCATACCGATTCACAGGCCCTGATAGGTCGACTGAACAGTGGACCCGAGCGATTGATGAAGGAAACGTTGTGCATGTGGCCTACGTAGACTTCAAGAAGGCATTTGACAGCGTGCCACACCAAAGTCTCCTACATAAGCTCAGCCGCATAGGGGTAAGAGGCAAGCTTTTGAAGTGGATTGAAAACTTTTTGGTCGGTCGGTCCCAGAATGTTCGTCTTGGTGGCCAGCACTCGGCAGAGGTGACGGTTACTAGCGGAGTACCTCAGGGCTCCGTTCTTGGCCCTATCCTCTTCCTCATCTATATTGATGACTGTATCCATGGATTGGACTGCAAGATTGCAATGTTTGCTGACGATATAAAGCTTTGGACCGTCATCCGCAACGAGGACGATGAAGCAAATTTACAGGCAAACTTAGACCGACTCGAAAAATGGTCAGGCCACTGGCTCCTCCCATTTAATGTTACCAAATGCAACATTCTGAGGATTGGCAGAACCAGCTCTGCGCACCGGCAGACGTACTATCTAAATCACACACCGCTGCCACTGGTAGAGGTTCAGAAAGACCTAGGGGTGTGGATAACATCTTCACTAAAGCCATCATTCCACTGCTTGAAAGCAGCGAAATCTGCAATGTCCAGCTTATATCTCATCAAGCGGGCATTTGCCAAGTTCGATGAAGAGTGCTTCCGCAAGGTCTTCGGGAGATTTGTGCGCCCACAGTTAGAATTTGCCATTCAGGCCTGGAGACCCTGGACTGTTAAGGATCGTAGCACCCTCGAAAAAGTCCAACGACGGGCAACCAAACTTGTCAGAGGTCATAAAAACCTACCTTACGAAACCAGACTTTCCCCTGGACTACAGACAACTCCGTGGCGACTTAATTCAAACGTTTAGAATGTTACGGGGTCAGGACTGCTGCCTCGCATCCGGCGACTTCTTTGAGCTGGCCACCACTACTAGTTTGAGAGGACACCCTCTGAAACTACGTGTGACAGGAGCGAGACTGGACGCAAGAAGGTCCTTCTTCAGCCACAGAGTGGTAAAGGCATGGAACGCCCTACCTGTGGATGTCGTCATGTCCTCATCCGTGGACTCATTTAAGAGAAAGCTTGACCAGTACAGGGATATGTACCTCCACAGCATCAGAAACTAACGAACCCCCCCCCCTGTGCCACCCGTCCTATCCAACGTTTTATGTTAAAAAGCATGCTACTCCCTACATTTTAGTAACATTACGTTTTACAATTTTCGCTATCACCTGACCGCCACATATGCGCTTGCTTTGATATTACTTGGTCCATTCATTGCCGTACTGGATATTGTACAATCTTGACACAGAAGGCATTCACAGAAAAATTCATACCAGTGACCAATGCTTGTTGTATGTAATTACTTACCTAATTTTTTCACACTTGCCTTACACATTGTTTTTTTATGACGTTATTGTAACCAAAAGGGAGTTCAAAGGCGTTCGCCTACTTTTCCCTTAATAAATCTGATCTGATCTGATCTGATCTGATTATCGATTATCCTCACAGACGTTTACGGCACAGACACATCTAGGGAGAAATCGCTCACCTATCAGATTGTTTTCCAGTGCATATGTAAGGGTCTTTCTTTTCCATCAGAAATATTTAAAAATGCAGCTTTCATGGCACATTTTCTGCAAGAACTCTTGTATAAGCGGGACATAGTATCGAATATTTTCGTCCCGAAAACGGTCTGAAATTAAGATATTTTATGGAACAGGACACGAGTTTCTCCATCTTTGTACAGCGTCTAAGCTATTGCACATGCATGTCTACTGTATGTACTCTCGCAGATATGCTAGGATCATTTCAAGGGCACACCCTGCAACATAAAATATTTCGACGAGTCTTGAGAAAGTGGCATGGGTTGCAACATGAATTAAGAAACACTGGAAATTCAAGTAGTAGCATACACAAGGTCAGATTTCGGGAAGTTCCGAAAGTACTTACCTACTTTAAGCCGAAATATTCCGAACATGAAACCCATGATTTCTCACAAAATAATGGTCAGATATGGTTATGTAGTCCCACCTGACGTAAACGAACCCCAGCCACCTCTAATACGAGACCGGTGTTAATAGGGGTTTTTGCAGGTGGGGCCGGGGAACGCACAGGCGACGAGGCCAAGTAGTTGTATGAAAAAGAAAAACCATTGGGAGTGCGCGGTTGTACTCTGGATGGTTGAAAAATGATTGCGCTAACCCCTAACCCTAATCCTAACCCCCTAACTATAGCCCCTAATCCTAAACCCTTACCCCTAACCCTAACCCATGACTCTAACCCCAAACTTTAACCCCTAACCCCAACCTCTAGCCATAACCCTTAACCCCAACTCCAGCAGTATTGTGTCCATCAGGTGGGGCCACCAAACCACATCTTACTAAAATAATTATGGGAAGCAAAATTTTTCTTTATAAACAATTACTGATTTTACGTAGTTGCCGACAGAGTAGAAAGGCAAACGTATTATGCAGTGCTTTTCTTAGTGCGATTGTCTTAGAATGGCGGAGAATAGTAAATATGAAAGTGGTCCAGACGATCAACATTTCGTCCGTCGGACACGACAATGATTCCAACTGCCTTCCTCGGAGTAGCAGTGGTTTGCAGGTGAGTTCTGCCGAAGAATACTTGCCCAAAAAGATCCTCCTCCTATGGCCATCATGTGTCAGTAGGAAGACGACTGGGGATGAGTGTGAACACAGTCGGTGACCTGTGACAACGCAGGTTGGTCCCTCTCTCGTGACTGAAACAGGCTTCACACAAATTTGCCGACATTGGACAGACCTGTCGACTAGCCTTGGAGCCACGAGTGGAAGCGGCCAACGTGACGTGGTGGCGGCGGCGGCGCCCAGCACAATTTCGTAATGCCACAGGTGAGAGCTGGACACCAGATGCGATCGGCGTGGAATGTCTGCCACCTGCAACAATCTTTGGTACGACCGTCAAGTCGGCGTCAAATAACCTAATGTCTAGGATATCGGTTGCGTGTGGCTGTTAGAAGTGCTGACACAGGTGATGGGGAGGGCGAATAAGTAGCCAATAAATTAGAAAGTGAATATACCTTCATGGGAAGGTCAAGACCGGAAGTGCTACGATGCAGGCTGACACCCAGATCCGCGCAGCCTAGAAGGACCGGGTAATCAGACCACTCGAGCCACGGTAGTAGCACCACAACGTGTGTCCAATTGCGCTTGGCTATAATTTCAGCAAAGTGCTCTTTCAGTGGTCCCTGACCTATCGGAAAGTGAAATCGTGATAAAGTAGGTAAGAGGGGTTAAGGGGCGAGATGGCGACTTTGCAAATATAAAAACAGAACAGGAAGTCCCAAACACTTACACTCCATATAAAACAAAACCGGTATCTATTCAGCAGGCACTGCAACTGTGATGATCGTCGAGGGCGATAACTGGTCTTTCGGAACCAAAAAAACACTGTCGCGCCTTAAACTTAACGAAACCCAGTCCACAGAGCAAGAAAAGGGAACAAGATGGTAACGGGGGAGGCGGTGAACTAAGTTTGGAAGTGGTATCCGTGACTGATACCATTAAAGTTTAATTCCCAACGTGCAACGCCAAAGGGGTTCCGGGACCAAAATAGAAAGGGTCACAACGACAAGGGAGACCAGAATGACCGTTTTTGGTCTAGTGGCTATCAGCAGCCAGCCATGCCCAATACGAGTCATACCACAGAACCAGCATGTCTTGGTAGCCTGATGGGTGGTCGCGACTCTATCATAATTAACATTTCTGATCACAACCGGCAGGTGTGAGGCACCTGGAATTGGAGGTAGCTGAAAGGTGACGGTTAAAAAGCTGTAAATGGACATTCCAGCCTTCCTTGTATTCGTCGGTACCCTGTATATACATATACACACATATAGGCAGAATAACATTACTGAAAATGACAAGGGAGACTGGAATGGCCATTTCTGGCTTATTAGCTGTCATCGGCTAGTCATACCCAACCCCGAAGTGTGGAACGCCTGTGTGAAGTACGGTTAAAGTGCAGTTAACCCCAAATTAATTTTCGCGCAAGCATTTGCATTAAACGCTATCAACAACTAGCTGCTCGGGATCAGGCGGCTGCAAGTGTCGAAAATTTGCAGAGAGAACTTATGAACACATATGACGCCGCGTAGATCCGACATACACGAAGTCGTATCAGGTAGAAGTCGGTACAAGACCATTAAAGCCCCCCTAACAAGGCGAAAAGAGAAAAGGTATAAAGAGTAGAAAAGTAAGCAGAATGCATTGAACTAATTTTATGTCCAACTTGTAAACCTTGAGAGACAAAGGGTCGGACAGTAAAAAATTGCAGAGAAGTATTACTTGCCGGTCACAATACAGAAGAGCCTGTGGTAAGCAATGTTGGGCGAAGAGGCCACAGTGGCATCGTAGATATCCAATGCCTCCAGCATCATGCTGTAGTCGTCATCAGGTGTCCAGCTACAACTACTGACCAGAAGGGCCGGCCGATCCACACGCCAGCTAATAGTCCCAGACTTGCTGCGCTCCGTGAAGAGTGTCTGGTCGGGAATTTCAGACACATCCAGAGCTGGATACATCTGTCCCAACCTGGAGGTAAAGTGGCAGGACAGAAAAAAATAATTACTACTTTTCACATTGATGGCCTGGCATAAGGCCGTCATGCCCCAGGTGCTGGCATTTGGCGTCGAAGCTGGACCGTGAGAAGCACGATGAAATCGAGGCGCTAGAGCTGAAGATCCTGAGGAAAGACAGCCCCATCGGCCCGAACATATTTTCTGGCTGGCAGTGTGGCACTTTCAGTCTCTACAGCCGCATGGTCGGTGTTAGACAGCAACGCAGGGAATGTTACCTATCTTACCGATGACGTAACCTGAAAACTGCCTCAGCCTTTCCCATAAGCGGAAGAGTTGGTTACCCGGCAAGCAGAAAGTTATTTTAAGGAGCGGCGTCAGAAGGGTGCGGGCCATTCTTTGAGGTCTCAAGATCGCGCAACGGTCAAGTAAACGAACTTCACTAAAATGTAGAACACTCCTTTGAAGTTGGATTGAAATGATCTCACTTCTGGCAACTGGTAATATTTTGGTGAGAATGAGACCTTTTGTTGCAGCGCAGGTGCCATCGCAGGAACACCCTTGCGGATGATGCAGTGACTGCAAGGATGAAAGTGCACCGAGAGAATTCTAGTGACTTCCGCCACAATTAGGAGTTGAATACAGACAACATACTGCCGACTTGGAGGCAAGATTGATGTGTGGATCGCACATCTGGTGTAGGAAAACTGAAGAAGTGCACATCCTGGAATTATTAGTCGACAGCGAAGAGTCAAACTGCTATGCGTACAATGATCCCTCCACAATGCCTACCTTGTGATAGTCTCCATAGATGTGAGGCCCTAGAGAGTGAAAACTGATTCATGTGGGTCAGGAAATTGGAGTGCGTAAGATGCACAGACGGGGCCGAATTATCGGTCGGTCGTCTTAGCCTGTTTTATTACTGGAGAGAAGTGAGAAGGGTCGTCACTGTGAGTCTTCCTCACTACAATACAAATCAAGCGTGATTCACAGTTGCCTATCCAAACAATGGTGACGCTCGTGAAATACGGTGAGTGACCGATCTCATGAAATGTTGGTCGAAATTCTGACATGCGTTTTAGATTGGTAAGGATTACTTAGGTGGGGTTGCAATATTGATTATCATGCGACGTAAAGCCATGATATTTCGGACTCGCCAGGATGTCCGCTTCTGAATGCACTCGTATCCGACTTCTTGCAGAACCCACACTCGGTAAAAAATGGCTACTTAAGTAGCATGCATTTTTTAGATCGATTTTTGGTGGTCTTATAAATTCAGATATATTTTACAGAAATCATGCATAAAAATATGCTTTCTTTTACCCGTTTTGTAGAAAATTACATCGTCTACACATTTTATGCTTGCAGAAGGGATATATTTTAGTTTTAAAAGGTTTCTAATTGTGAGTTTTTTAAGACCGTGCAATGTCCATGCATACAGCATCGCACATGTCCGCTTACCCATGCTCCTAATCAAATGTGCGACATAGCCCGCATCCACTGCAAAATTTTATTTACTCTATATGACATCTTGTTGAAGGCATAGAGGAGTGTATTATTTTCCTTACGCGGAAGGCATACACCTCGTAGACTGAAGTCGCTAAACGCTAGTACAACGGCCGATCAGGCTCGAAACAATTCAGGAATTAGGAAACTTTTCAAAACCTAAATATACACTTTCTTCGGGTATAAAACGTGAAGACAATGGGATTTTCTACTAAACAAGTAAAAGAAAGCACATTTTGTGCATGTTTTTATAAAATATATTTTAATGTATAACACCATCGAAAATAAAATTAAAAAAACGCATGCTAAATATGTAGTCATTTTTTACCGAGTCTGGTTTCTGAAGGAGGTCGCAAAGAAGTGCATTCAAAAGCCAACATCCTGGCGAGTCCGAAATATTAAAGGACTATGATGCATGATACTCAATATTGTAACCTCACCTAAGTAATCCTTCCTAATCGAAAAAGCATTTCAGAATTTCGGCCAACATCTCATGAGATAGGTCACGCACTGTACGATGGACGAACTATCATCATCATGCATACGCCGAGATAGGCAGATGGGTAGTCTTCATTGTTTACGACAGCTATCACGTACAGCAGATACTGACCTGGGGCTACGATCTGGCTGGCAGATTATGACAGGTAAAGAGGAGTGACTATTCTACTCTACCTCTGTTGGTAATATTCCTCAACTGTTGTCTTCTCATCGTCGCACGACCGGATGAGAGGGCTTTGGGACGCAATTCGAAGTCAAAATGGAACATCCGTTGGTGGGGCACAGGAATATGGACTCCCTTATTGCAGGTGGCCTTGCACCAAGTTCCAAGGGAGTTGGGGTTATGAACATCGGTGTTAGGATTGAGGTTGGAACTCGGGAATAGGCACCTTCCTGAGATTTGGTGCAAGAGTACCCGTAATAAAGGGAGGGGCCCGTATTTCCGTGTCCGACCCAACTGTGTTCCGCCAGTATTCAGGCCGGATAGGTGAGCACCGCTCCACTGCGACTTTGAGTACTCCCAGGCACAATCACCTGTGCGGCTAACATCTGGTGATACAGCCAAGCGCGGCTCGCAGCAGACTAGCGCAGAGGAGTAGGCAAGGTACAGATCAACTCAAACGTCAGAGGTCCAGTTAATAACGTCTTGGTACTAATTATGAACGTGCATAAACAAACCGCAATTTAATAACAACACAGAGGTTAGCTCACTTTTTGAAGAGGGTATGCGCGCGCTCGGGAGTGGTGGGTTGAAACTCTCCTGTCGGTAGGTCATAGAGGACGCTGGCATTAATGCCCGTTCGCTCGTACAGGTCACGCTGCAGGGCCTGCGAGACGCAAAAGTGACGCGATCGTACACGACCATTGGCACTGAGGAAGGTACCTGCGAAATTGATTTCTAGAAGCCTATAGAGCCTAGAAAACGGAATGAAAATTCTGCGGTCAGCATCGACATGGGCAAAAAGTGTCCGACACCAGCACCCCTACGAGTTCTGTGTTACATGAGGCTCCGTTATGCGAAGAATATCGCGTTACAGTCATCGGTACTTACGTCTGATATGAAGTGTAACGTGAGCCTAAGCTAAGTAAACCCGACCAGAATCCAACCATTGACGTGCAACAGCATAATCGTCGCTGTAGTCACTATAGTAATAATAATAATAATCGCAATCGCTGTAGTCGCCACTACTACCACCGCCGCCATTATCATCATTGTCATCGAAAACAACCACGGATCTCCAAGGTGGGCTTCAAATACAACTCTGCAGACGAACAGAAAGTAAGTCAAACACTGTTCTATTGAATTCGGTAATAGAAACTGAGTAATCACGCAAAAAATGCCAAATCTGGAATGCCGCCGTAGAACGCAATGGCGCCTACTACGGCACGTTATCCACTACACTGTCCTGGACGTCTTTAGTCGCGCAGGCCGCCAACAGTAGGATTGGTTCGACGACGACGAAGAAATCTGTAATCTGCTCTCTGAGGAAAACAGGCTGCACACAGTCACTGTCAATCACGGGACCAACGTAAATAAAGCAGCCTTCTCCCACTGTCAACGACTGGGGGACACAGAATGTTTGGGTAGATAGTAAAGACAAAGGAATTCAAGGCTACGCGGATCCCAAATGAAGGATTCCTTTGCGCCAGTGGAGCCGGTCTAGGGTCCCCACACCGACGGTAACACACCGCGGAGCAGTGCAGACAGAACAGCACTTTTCACGAAGAGATCGTAAGTTACGAAGCGCTGGGCAGCGTACTTCAGAAGCGTCCTTAATCGATCATCTACAGCTGCTGGCGACGCCACTGACATGTTCCCTGAAGTGGGGCCAAAATTCAGTCTCGACAGCCCGGGGATCACCAGAGTTGTACCCTAAATATCCAGTAGCAAAGCACCTGGAGCCGACGCAATTCCAGCCGAATTCTGCAAGTACGGCGGCCTTTGGACGGTGGATACGCTTACCTCACTCTACCAGATGTGGCAACAAGGACAAGTCTCTCCAGGATTCAAAGATGTGACCATCGTCCACACCTACAAGTGCAAGGGGAACCGCCAGTTTTGCGATAATCACATAGGCATTTACCTCCCCAACGAAGCAGGGAAAATCGTCGCGCACGTCCTCCTTAATCGCATGAACACGCACCTGTAGCGTGAGCTTCTTGTGGAAAGCAGTGTGGAATCTGAAGGAACCGCGGAACCATCGACCTGGTCTTCGCAGCGCGCCAGCCACATGGAAAATACAAACCGGACTACACACCACCTTCGTTGATATGACAAAGGCCTTCGACACGGTCAAACGCGATGGCCTCTAGAAAATAGTCCTGAAATTTGGATGTATGGAATATCTTAAGTAAATAGCGCCCCAACTTGGGAGGGTCTCGCTCAGGGTTGGAAGGCCTGGAGAACAGCAGTGAAAAGTAGCGCGGCAGTTTTAGAAGTCTACCGGATGGCCGCCAGTTAAGCAAAAATGAGTGGCTCACAAGCCTCAAGTGTAGTAGAACAATAACTCCGACATCCCACCTCTTCCATTGTGTTCATGATGTCGACGGAAATTTCGCGCGCCGGTCGGTTTTGTCGGACACCTCAAGGCCTAATGTAATATCAACGCGGCACCTCCTCTTCCAGTCTTAGAAACCGCGTCCGTTCCCATTACCGCAACCGCAGCAGTGGCAGCCATTGGATCCAATCTCATCACCAGATGGCTGACAGGTTCCGGCAGTCGACTGGTGCATGAGAGTGGGAAGAGAGTGAGGTCGACACCAGGAACCCATGCCCACGCCAAATCAACGCATTTCTCACTACAGCAAATCCGACGCTCTAAAAGTCATGGCTTTGAAGGTTGCCAAATGACGGGGTAACTCGACTCACCTGATCAGAACTGCGTGTGCATGTGGAGTGAATGTCTGAAGAACTGAAAGTCAGGCTCAATGGCTCATTGTTAATGCGGCCATTGTGGCGCTCACTGATGTGAGATCCGAGCCGTCCCTATGAAATTCAGGCAAACGTTGTGGAGGCCAGATAGTGTGTGACACGATAGACGGGCTGTTTGACTGTTCCGGTCACTGAGCCCGAGCCCGCCTCTGGTTCTCCTGATACTGTCTTGTCACTAGAGCCGAGTGGGTGAAGGAGTCCGGTAGGTGCTGTGCAAGTCTGCCTTACTATAGACTAATTCACATGTATGTCACTGTTCTGCTCCCACTATGTGGGGCACATAATAAACATAGCCTTTTGCGATGGGCGACCTGTCGTACGAGGGGACTGCCCCACTGTTCAGTCAAAATAGAGCAACCATACTACCAAAGAAGTCGGAGATTCTGGATCGCTGGAGCCGGCACTTCAAGTATATTCTCAACCACCTGTACACAATCTGCGAGGCCAGCAACCAATTTCCTTAAGTGGACACAAAGTGCCGATCCCGACCGTCTGCCTACTCTTCAGAAGACAATGACGACAGTGCAACAAAGGTCTGGTGGAAAAGCACCAGGCACCAACGCGATCCTAGCCGAAACTGACAAGTATGGTGGCTTATAAGTCACGGAGAAGCTTGCTTCACTGTTTCAAAGGAAGTATATAAAGTGGCAAATCCCCCAACACTTCAAGGATGCCACCATCATGCACATACGCAAACGCAGGGGGGCCGACGACTCTGAGATAACCATAGAGGTAGCACTCTTTTCAAAAATTTCCGGCAAAACGTCCCCCCATCTCTTATTCGATTGTTTGTGCATGTATTTGGAGCCGGGACTCCTTCCAGAAACAAAATGAAGATTCAGGAACCACTGAAGAACCACGGATATGATGTCTGCGTTTCGGCAACTACGGGAGAAGTACGACGAAATGCTAACCAGCCTGTACAATACTTCCGGAGATTTGACAAAGGCCTTTGGCACAGTGACCAGCGGTGAACTCTAAAAATCAAGCTGAAATTCGGGTGTATGGGGCGATTCACGCAAACAGTCGGACGATTACACGATGGAATGATGGCGAGCGTCACGGACAATGCGTCAGGCTCAGAAGAACTCGCGGTTATAAAAGGGGTGGAGTGGGTTTATGCACTAGCATTCACGCTTTCCCGTCCTGTGTTTTGAGCCATGACGATGGACGCCTGAGCGAGCAACAGCTGGGAATCAGCACTGACTACCGAGCAGAGAGACAACTGCTGAACATTCGATGCATGATGGCACCTTTGATAGGTTCCAAGGCCATTTTCCACGACCCCTTGTTCATGGATTACTGCGAGCTAAGTACCACAGCGGAAGAGAACATGTGGCGGAGTGTGGGCCTCTTTGCCTCCGCCTGCTCCAACTTTGGATTGATAGTTCGCACAGTGAAGACTTTGGTCGTGCATAACCAGCGTCAAGTGCTGACCACAGAGAAACTCATATCGATGCTGGATAGAACTCGCCTCGAACCAGTGGACGAATTGGCGTCGTCGACCTCACTCTCCCTTCCCACTCCCAGGCCCCAGCCACTGTCCGAGCTGGTCAGTTGACAGGTGTGGGGAATGGGCGCGGTGGCTGACATACCTAGTGACCTTGTCTGCGCATGCCACATGCCTGGCCTGGCCTCCCAAACACAAGCACTAGGATTTTACACAACGGGGGTTGAGCAGCGTTCATCTCATATGCGTGAGAGTGCCGTAGGTCACTTTAAGAAGGAGCCGCTTCGGCCTGACTCTCAACCCAGCAATCCGCCACTCCACACTAACACACTTTCACCCAAAGGTGGTGCTCAGTTCGGATATCACATGCGTGAGGGCCCCTTTGGGGAACATATTAAGGAGCCATTGGGCCAGATCCACAGTCCTCCAGTCGAGTACTCCAAATAAACACACGGGACCGACTATGAGGTCTGAGTTGTACCGTCAGTTTACAACCTACCAGCATACGATATTTAATGCGTCATGATAGAGTCAAGCGCGTCAGATTGAGTGCCGTGAGGAACGTGAGCTATGTGTCGTGGGGACGGAGTCCAAGAGTCGACTTCACATTCCCTCCCCTTTTCAATGCACCAGTCCACTGTCCGGGTCGGTCAGTCGTCTGATGCGGGATCGGGAGTAAGTGGCTGACAGGGCTAAACGGCCCGTTTGCACGTACCACAAACGGTCTAGCTCCCCACACAACGCATTAAGTTCTCACACATAAGGGGTGGGCGGTTCGGACGGAGTAATGGGGAGCCTACGGATGGTAAGTTATAAACCGCGCTTAGCTGAGCTGTTGTCGAAGAATGCCGAAAGGATGGTAGCAGGAATGGAATCCCGACATCAAGATCCTGGAAAGAACCGATGTTCTCCATACCACGTCATACATACGCTGTAACAGAGCGGTCAAGTCGTGAGGATGAATGATGTGCGCCTGCCCAAACGACTTTTCTATGGCGATGTCGTCACGGGTATTCGCAGACAAGGTGGTCAGAAGCGTCGCTAAAAGGACAACTTGTAGACCTCACTCGTGCACCTGAAAATCAATCCTGTGACCCGGGGAAATACCGTATAGGACTGGCAAACATGGTGCAACGGCGGGAGGACTTGAGCATCCATCTTCGAAGTCAACCAAACGGCGGCGGGGAAGGCGAAAGGAGAGCTTTGCAGGACTCGAAAGCGCGGATAAATGACGGGGATACCCAACACTCTCCATCGTGTCTACATTGTCCACAGACACTCAGTGGACGAATAGATCTTGCTGTACATAAATTGGCTCAGAGCAGTGTCAAGACAACTAACCCACTTCCCAGCCAAGAAAACACCCCCACCGCCAACACCATAACTACCAGCAAGGGCATTCCGGTCGCTACACATCTCTACTGCCACCTCCCATTTAAGCAGACACGTAGACTTAGTTGCATCTTGTACCCATTTCAATCACACCTTAAATCACGGATAGGCCTGACCGGTCACTTGCGAGTGCATTGCATAAGGACACCGAACGTTTGTCTTACTTGCCCACACTGTTCGAGGCATTTTGGAAATTCGCATATTCATGAAAATCTCCAGTAACAACACAGTTCAGACCCTATTACAACACCTCGCTCTAACTGTATACACAAACATCCCAAGGCTACACGCTATTTTTCCGAAACTCTCAATTGTAGCCATGTGCATATGGGACAGAGAGTAAATCGCATGTGGTCGCGTATACAAGCTGTCTAGCTCCATCGGCCACTGAGGCTGATATGGTTAGTAGTCGGTCTGACTCAGACAGTATGCAAGTGTGCATGCGGATGAAGTGTGAGACTGACATTGGGAAGCCAATCCTCATGAAAAATTATCGTTCCTCTCGGTTTAATTAAACTGACGCATTTGAATCTATCACAACGCGTCCAGAGTCGTGACCTGTGGAGTTGCTGGTTGACAGGATAATTCGGTCCCCTTCGAAATGACAAAAGGGCTGTAGTGGCTCCTCAATTTGGCCTTTATTACATTCTCATTCATTGGAGACCAGCGCTACTCCTTACGGTAGCCTGATACATGTAGTAGGGACCAGGTCGTGGGGAGGACCCTCTTTATGCCCCCTGGGAAGATCATAGGACCAGACCAAAATTATTTCTCAGGGTCACGCCATGCGTCGGTCTGTCAAAAACATTGCGTTAGCGCTTTTGCGGGGCTCGCCCCTCACGAGACAGAAGTGGCAATCCTACAGTAAGCTCCTCATTTTTTGAACGTTGCCTGTGCTGTTCAGTAGGACGGTGGAAACCTCCTTGTATGCGGGCACGGTAACAAGTTCTCATCAGCCCCGAGTTTTACTAATGTATGGAGTCCAATCTTCGAAAGTTTATTACACAGTATAAGAGCCATGAGGAGCGAAGATACTTGATTTTGGATGAGGTATTAGTCCTGCCCGTCGACTCCGTCTAACTGGTCTCCCTCCACCAGACCGAAATTCTGAGTTTGGTATGTGACATCTTCGTCGTAAAGAGACCATTTTTGACATTCAACGAATATCTCAACCCCATCCTTCTGGACACAAAGTTTATGATGTATGAAGGAGAACACAACCGACTGGCCTTCCTGGATTCGCTGGTTTGCCGCAGGGCTTGTGGTGGCCTAAAAACTAATGTATTCAGGAAAGCAACAAATACGATGGAACTAGTGAGCTTTAGCAGCAATCACCCAATCAGCTACAAATGCAGTTGCGCGAGGGTGCTATATCGGCGTAGAGGTACGCATAGCAGTGAGCCGGACGACAAGACTGCATAGAACGAGTGGACACCCGCATAACTTCGTCGACCGGAGCATGCGAAAACGAGAGGAGACCAAATCACACTGGCCACAAATTCTGGTGAGCGCTCCGACGTGTCAAGAAAGTCTCGGAGGCCGTCAGCCGCCTTCTCTCACCCGTTGCAGGTGGGGTTGCAAATGGACCGGAGGCAACCATCATGCACCAGGTCATGAGGCTGAAAAACCAACCGCTACGACAGGAATCATCTGGAGCCGTTTACTGTATCTGGTGTAGTTGTGAACAAAGCAATTACGCCCGAAAAACTGAGATTACTCTACTCCCTAGTCTCAGTTCATTCGACGAGTCCCAGTCATATTTCTGAGTTCGAATCGGCCGAAGTCTTCACGAGGGATGGCAGCCGCGTGAGCTGCGAGCTTCTGTGGTCATAATTTGCCGACGCCATTGCCAAATTTCACCCCGGTATTTGGTAATAAAACACAACAATACATTGTGTGGTCTGGCTTTTACATGCAGCTGCCTTATGGCAATAACCTCTTCGTCTACCTAATGAAAGCAAAAGAACTAACGCAACTGTATCTTAAAAGACGGGGTAGCTTTAAATGGATTAGGAAACTCACTTGGAGGTAAGGGTGCTGTGGCCAGATGAGGCCTCCAAAATGGTGTACCCATAATTGTGCCAGTCAATTAGGACTGGAACACCTCTTAAAAGCGCGTAGAACCAGACGATTATCATTGTAGGTGCTGCGGGCGGTGATTGCACCATCAGCATATCGCCTTCGAAGTTTCTCAAGAGGTGCAAAAAGAGGCTTATGGAGAGGAATATCATCTACGTAAAGATGGAAGCGGGGAATAGAGGAACACAAAGTTACCTTAAGAAATAATGCAATTATGCGGGGCAGCAACCTATCAAACCAACTTGGGGGTTCGCGGACGTAGGAAAAAGCAATTTTTTCATCAGTGCGAGCTGGTGTGGACAAATGACTGCCATAGCCAGAAAATTTTACATCCCAATTACTTTGGACGAAGGAGTTAGCATGATTCCGCATACGCGGCGAACGAGCGACATCCCCGAGAACAAGTATATGAATTCTGGGTCTCCTTTCTTCAGTCATGGATTCTAAAGGTCAAAAAGCCGCCGAATTATAGATCCTGAGAAGTCTGGGATATGTGACCTGCCTATGATACAAAATGAAAGGGGCAGGAATATTTTTAAGGACAGCAGCAACTTAACATGAACAAACATTCAAGTTTACGTCCATGTCAAAGCTACCCGACTCAGTCAAAATCCACTATATTGGATGGCAGTCCCAAGATATCCAAAATGTATGGCGTTATTCGCCACGAAGTTCCATGTATGAGATTACACCACACAATTGCTTTTCCTCGAGTTTGAACAGTAACAGAGGTTTGTAGAAATCAGATATCAGGACGGTCGCAGCTTTTCCATGAAGCCAAATTAAATATCGATTCCATAGAATGCTTTTAGTTAGTAACAGCCTTTTTCTCGGCCTATGCAGGTTGAGTCGACAAGGGCAAAAGCCGGCATTTTGTCACCGACAGTCCATCCTGTTGGGCTACTTCGTCTTATTGTGCTTATACACAGATACATTAGGTTGAATGTCTTTTCAGGCAGCAGCGTTTCGTTAGACCTATACAGGGGCTTAACATCCCAGATAGCATAACTAGAGGTACTTCTAAGTCGCTGCAGGGACGATCCTGAGTTGGGTGGCAGTGGGCGATGCACACGGTGCACCTTATTCGGTCAAACAGACACTCCTCCTTCCCGCTTGGAAGCATCCCTGCAGTTCGTAACCCCCGATATTTAGCAGCACACTCAACCCAGTGTGTCCGCGACCCCCGCGTGAAACGGTGAGTGCGCGTGTATGCGAAATCGAGACTGTTCCCATCGGTCTGCGACTGCAGCAAATCTGGAGCCACTGTGACAGAAAACTTGACATCGAAATATTTCTAGGATATATTCGCGCTCCAACATAAGTTGGGGCGCAAACATATCCTGTAGCTGACGTGTAATTCCTCAAAATTAAGCAGTTACACGTCAGCTACAGCGCCCGATCTCTTATCTACCTTAATACTGGTATGCAACTGGTCAGAAAATGCAACTAGGTCTATTCAACGCGGACGAAGCACACATTTCCCGATTCAGATAAGCTCCATGGATGATTAACACAATGCATCCATCAGGCTTCCCAAACCCTACTTTGTCTCATCAATCTCATTTTCAGTCCAATAAAACACATTTGGTATGGATTGTTTCCTTGATATTTTTTGTTTTTCTTGATATTAAAACGTTCAATTTATGTTTCAGCTTCCACCCAGTAGCCGTAATCTGTAATGCAGTATTTTGTCAGCTATTTCAGTTGCGGTTCTTTGGAATGGTATGAACAACTACGGAGCTGCAAGGCACCTGTTATAGGCTGCATTATGAACTTTTGTAAACGTATGAGGTTTCATACAATGGTGCCTATGTTCTTTTTATCTTCTCTAATTTTCTCCAGCCGAAGCTCAATCCCTGCAAGCCTAGATAACGCGATTAAACGCTGCCTTCATCAAGAATGGATTGCACTGCAGCTGTGTCTTTGTCCAGCTGCCCTAGTTAATATTCTCGTCCTTAACATCCTTCACCCTTAGAGTAGTGCAAAAACTTTTAAAAATATTAACAACACTATTCTGTGCTGTTACGGATCGCTCTTAAAATAGCCTTGCTTATGTGAGGATGTAATTATCCCCAAATCAATTAGACTAAAAGACTATTTGCACAGCAAGAAACATGTATTTTAGTTCAAAAGTTTATTTGTGTGGGAAACTGGGGACATGGTCAAGCGATAGGAATCTTGAATTTTGCTTCAAAATCTACAGGGCTATGGCCCCTTCTACGACCGTCTCGCCCAGAGTAATGGGGGAGGAACGTGCTGACAGTGAATACGTAGCCTCATAATTCGACCGTACACCTTTCACTTAAAGAATTTGGAAAATGACAGTTCTTGTTTAGGAAAATTGTGCATGCATCCTTGCCAGTGAGAAGACCGAGCGGAGGGTCAGTCGCAGTTGACAAAATTTAAGACTGACATAGCTAATTTAAACTGCAAACCCCTAACAATAATCTAACTCCGAGCGTAGCATTTTAGGCCATTCTGTATTTCAGCTGACTGATGACCATTTGAATATGCGTTATAGGAGGTCTAATTCAATAATCTCCTTTGGTGTTTGGATAAAATAGAATAGGTTTACTATAACACCTCTTGGACGCTGTATATTAATGGCATTTATTTAGGTATCTTATTAGTCAAAACAGCGCGAGTTGTGAGTTTGTTATAAGCTGAAGAACCTGAATACCAAGGCCGAGTAATAGCAAAAGTTAGAAAAAAGAGGAAAATATAAAGTAAACAGATTAAAGTTTGATGTTTGGTGGTTTTGGAGAATGTGAACAAACCAGCCCAGAACCTCCAAACGGGTGGAGAAATATCAACCTTTCCTTCGGTTTAACTTTTTCCCTAACCTGTATTCCGCCTAATTTCAGGTGACTGTCGACTGCGATTACTTTGTAAAACCCGGACTAGCAGTCTTTTTAAGTTCCTCTGAGAGGGGACCTTCCAACGTTGGAAATCCTCGTACATTTTCCAACGACTACCCAGGCTCAGCGGAGTCAGAGTTAACCTTCATCGCACCGAGATCCAATTCGTCGACACAGTTGGACATAGTGCAGAATGACGGCCTTTGCGTAAAGTTTCTTTATAAAGTTCGAACCGGCAGATAGCTAGAGTAGGAAAAACAGACAACTCCATAATGTCAACACCTCGATAGTTCTGAACGTCTTTGTGGGAAGCACAATTTCGTCTCTATAATCAGTGTTTACGCCTTTCCCGCCAAAATGATCGATTTCAACAAAAGAAAGAACAAATTCCGGCGAGGATATGGTCTGTAACCAGCGTTGGCAGCAGATTACCTGAGGAGTCTGTCTAACGTGAATGGTGGCAATAGGGGTTATACGGGTGGGGCCTTCAGCCGCACGCAAAAGTAAATCGGGGAAACAAAACGAGAAAAAAGATAAATTGCATCGGGAGCCTTCTGATGTGCTTAGAGAGTAAAAGGATAGGCAAACGCACAAAATCGGAAGGCTACCAGAAAATTGTAGTCAGAGAATTTCAGGCAACTGAACAAACTGCCGTCGCCTAACCAAATGAAGGTCGGATTCCAGTTGAGTACGCAGCCAATGGTATTTGGCGAAGGAGTTAATCGAAAGTGCAAACAACGCAGATTGTAGTTAACACCTGGAACCGCATCAGTCAACAGGAATTTACGAAAATGTAAAACTAAGAACAAGTGGGAAGACAAACAAGGTAAACTGAATGGCACTAGAAAAAAATAAATGGAAAAGTTAAGTCTAGTGATATAAAGGGGCATGGCTTACATACTATATGGTCGTATGTATTGGAAATAACTCGTGGTATGTAACGAAGCTTTCAACGCGAAGGCAAATGCACATGCTAAATGTTGAAGCACAGTAAAGCACTTTGTACACCTAGATCTAGGCATTAAAGTCTGTAAGCAGTTATTAGTTTGAATAGTAAGAAGTGACAATAAACCGTATAGTAAATCATTTTTAAATGCAGACCGCCGGCTGAGGAAACCGTAAAACAAAGGCAACCTCAGAACAATATGCCAACGCAAACTGATGAGATAATGAAAGCATTAAAGTTCTATAAGCTGGTACAGTACTGCCAAGACCAAGGACTGCCGCCGAGAAGTCTGAAGTGTAAATGTCGACGGACAGGGCGGCGACAGATTTGCAGGTAACAAACAGACGGTTTCGTCTTTAAGTATAACCGTCGCAGCACTACGAAGACACTGCGAACGAGTTCAGTATTTGACGGTAGCCATCTAACAATCAAGAAAGTTTTGAAGACCTGCCTATCATTCATAGAAGGAGCCAGAGTGCAGCTGTAGCGGCTAGACGGTGAGAAATAGTGCTCAGTGCTCTACAGTCGTCAGGCCAAATGCCAAGTTGTAAGGAGATGTGGGACGCCAGTTGGAAGGGGCATTTATTCTACACAGAATAAAGAATAAAAGCTGGAAACCGGACGAGGATGCATCCGCAAGAGCGACCTCCCATGTGTCGCCGTAAGTCGCCGCCGCAAAAGTGTCGTGACAGATTGACTACGTCACTGGTCTCTTGTACCCGTTTGTGCTACTCATCAGCGAAAGTAGTTGCGTTGATTGGCTCAGAGCGCGCGCGAGGGTAGTGACAAGCCTCGCATGGTACAAGAAAAAAAGCGACATGAAATATGGTGTGGATAGAACTGCAGCGAGATAAATCGATGCCAGGCGGAGGTGCGTGCCGAAGCAAGCTGTCGCTTGTTTGTAGTTGCTGACACTAACGAGAGGCACGACGTTGCCATGATGACTTTCCGCAACAAAACTATGTCAAAGAGAAGTGGGAGTCTGCCATTCAACAGCAGTAGAGTGGTACGGTATATGCCGAAACGTGTGTTCCGTGACCATCCTTAGCCAAACCATTCTCCTTGGCGGCCCAGGAATATAAGTCCGGATTGGTGAAATTCTGGTGGTTCGCCGAAAATACAACGTCGGTAGGCAAAAAAGACAATTCTGGCTGCTAGGAATGTACGAAGCGAAGCAAAAGAATGGAGTGGTCGGGCAAGTCAACAACGGCTTCCGACAAGCCCTCAAACCGATAATGAAAATGTGGGTGAGGAAGGGGAGTGTGTTTGTGACGTATAAATGGAGAGCCTACTCATGCCAATCGTCTGAGGGATATGATCAGTATACCGTAAACCACAGTATATGTTTTGTAGATGCAACTACAGGCAGGCATACGAACGCACCTAAAGCGTATGGGAGCCGCCTGAAAATGAAATTACATGAAGGAGGTCTTGTGTCAGACCGAGCTGTCTGAGCCCAAATTGGCGAGATGCGATATCGTCAATGTTTTAGACTAAATACCACAGGCCTGAAACAAGCGTGTGAAACCTTCCTACCCCACATCGCGGAAGTGTATCACGAGCGGCAGCCGGACAATGGATAAACCGGATAGAAGAGGTACACAGCAGCCAATTCTCTCAGTTGTATTTTCATG